TATTCAGATCAGGGGCAATTTGAACTGGGCCTTCAAGGGAGGGAGGAAGAGCAAACAAGGGGAGCAGGTGATCACACGTGGGGTAAACATAGGAGACGGAGGCTCACCCACTTTGGCTGCAAAGCTGGCTCTGGGGACATGGGTATTTGAAGATAAGCCAAGAAAGGCAGGCTGGGGTGGGCTAAATGGTAGAGGCCTTTGAATGTCAAGCTCATGCATCATATGGACAAGTGAAGGAGACTGTCTTTCCAATTCATTTTAATCTATCCTAAACCCACATAATTCAAAAGATCTAGTTAGCCCTTCTACCCATCTATCATGTTTTCAAAGTTGCCTTGTGTACGAGGGAAACAAGAAGCGAGACGTAAGATGCGGGTGCATCATCTGATGTCTGATGTCTGGCTCTGGTGACAGCATCCCTTTGTTCATCACCCCTCAGGCCTTCGGCCTCTGGCCCCTTCCTGCTGCACTGCTGGGGCGGGGACCCTTCTGCAGGTTGTCTTTTGATTTTTCACATGCTTTGGTCAAGTTTCTCTAGACAGCTTAGAAAGTCTCCTCCTTTTCCTCCAGGCCTCCTGTCACGGCTCTGATGATCAACTGATTAATATTTCTCGCAATTCCCGAAACCGGTCCCCCATCTCAATTGTTTATTCCAAACTTCAGCTTTTACATTTATAATTCTTCTCATTGGTAATGGCTCCCTGGAAATCTTTACTCATTACCTCCTTTCCACTCTAGATTGTTTCATAATGAATCTTTTTATTTACTTTTGTGTAATGAATGAAACCTAGTTTTAGACTCCCTTTCTGATCATAGCTGATACGCTGTTGTCGCTTAGTAGTATAATTTATAGCATTTGCATTTATAACTACAATTATTAAATGTCAGTCTGCTTTCTGTTCGGTATTTTTTCTTAATTTATGGGGTCTGCTTTCTTGTTACGCTTTTGCTATATGAACTATGTTCTTTCACTGCGATTTTATGGGTGGATTTCCAATGTTAATTCTATCACTTACTATATTAAGGCCTTCCAAAATGAAATACTATTATTAAAGTCAACCTCATTTCATATGTATTAACTTTTGTCCTTACTAATTGCTGATGATAAACTAATTGCATCTTTAAGGATATGTCTCATCTCCTATCTAAGCCAAAATAATGTAACCCAGTCAGTGGACGATTGAAAACTTTTAAAATTACTTCCGTTGCCCCTTGTGACTGAGCACAGATGATTTCAAATAAGCCCACTCGGAGCAAGCACAAGTTTATTAAGTTGCTTTTCCATGTAGACCTGAACTCTCCTGTGCGGGAACTGTCATGCCCTAGAAACAAATTTTGCAGATTTCCTGCTCCCACTGAATTCTCCTTGACAACCTCTACCCATAATCTTTGTATCAAAAATGAACCATTATATCTTCTGTTTACTCAAAATATTGCTGTTTGGGATGGTAAACTTTTACTAAAGATTTGAGGGCATAGGGATGGGGTGAAATTAGACCCCCACAGAATATGAAACAAGTTAAAATTAAACACTAGAGGTCGCTTTTTTTTTTTAATTTTTAAAATGAGTCAGGATTTCTCACAAGCCCTCTTTTCTCCATGGATTTGGGTCTCTGGCCATGTTGGGAAGTCCTCTCCCTCCCTCTTCTCTTTCCTTTTCTGCCAGCACAGATGCCCCAAATCTCTGTTAGTATCTAAAACACAGAGAAACAGGTCTCAGTCCTTCACCCCTATAAGGTTCACATTTGCACATCCCCCCCAATATCATTAAACTGCCTCCTTAGATAAAGGTGCCTTCTGCTCTGGGTCTCTCCCCTTAGCAACTGTGAGAAACAGGAGCAGCCCAACAGGGTTGCCAGGCGGTTCTCCCGTGCTGACGTGCCTGTAGTTATTCTGAGATCCCTCACCTAACCCTCTTGTGTGCTGCAGGAACACACCTCGCTCAGTGGCTGGGACGTGAGACGGACTTAGTAAGTATCAGCACACTTTCCCCGCCTGACCCTCTTGCACGTATCTCGCCTCGAATTACCAGATCTGAAAGCCATTTTGATTGAAAACCTGAATGCATGCAAAGAGGAAGCTGGGCCCCAAAGGCTGAGAGACAAGGGCGATGGGGGCAGCTGGCCCCAGCCCAGGCAGAGGTCCAGTGACAGGAGAAGGACTGTCAGAGAGCTCTCTCTTTGAACAGCCCACAAAGAGTCGGGGACGAGTGGGTGGATCAACCATGCGGCAGAGAGGAAATGAGCCTGAGAAAGGAGTCACACCTCTGCTCCATCGCACACATCCTCTCCCAGGGGGCATCGCACAACTCCCGTTCTCAAGAGCACTCCCACCTCGGGAGCCTTGAGATGGCCAATCACTGCAGAGGGGAACAAATTAGGTTCTTCCTCTCGCTGTCCCCTGGTTTGCTGACTCAATTCGTCCCCCCATTTTTAGGTCTTCCTGTTTATGTTGTCACTTTGTTTCATTGTTTATTTTTAGCCCCGATTTCGGAAGCTTTTCTTCTGCTGGGCACTGGCAGGATATCAACAGCATCGGCCTCGTCTCTGAAAAGATCATTGTGCAAGCCTGGCCCTGGGCCCTCCAGGGACAGAGTGCCAGTGTGAGCCGCCTCACGCTGCCTCTTCACCCTCCTGGCCAGCCCGGGGTCCGCCGGCATTCCCCATGGGCCGGCCAGCACAGGGTCAGCGTATATTAGAGATAGACGTGACCTTAGATTTCAGCTGGCCCAGCCCCTCACTCTCCAGAGGAGACACTGAGGCCCAGAGAACTAAGGGATCACCCCCCAAATCATACATTAAAGTGACAGAGCCAGACCCCAAACCACGGGCCCCAAAACGTGGACTCTTTCCAGTCTAATGCTC